TTTCCCCAGCGCGGATAGGTCCGAGTCACATGCCCAACAATTGCCCCCCATCAGGGGGTGTTCTGTGAATACCCCCTGTTTAGGTCTCCGCTTGATTGACTCGGACTTGCGTGATAATTTTTGACTGCGCGATTTGATTGGGCGTGACACCCGGGGTTGTGGTTGCTCTTCTGGCGCGCCTTGTCATCTCGCGTACGCGCGATTTCAGGAGATTCGTTGGTAGTTACTTGAACGACCGCGCGCGACTCTCGGGATCTGGATTTTATTTGAGTTTGCGCCTTCAACTTGCGCCTGTCGAGTGCGCTCTCTTGATGCGTATGTGCGTGATCCTTGTGATATCTTTCTTGGCGCGTTGCGCGGACTTAAGTTTGCGCGGACTTAAGTTTGTTGGATAGCTGCGCGCGACTCCTTGGTTGTTAGATTTGATTTCTGCGAGCTTTTTTCTTTCTTCGCGGGTGTGTCATACCCTCCAGGCGTTGTGCGGAACTTGTTATGTCAGCGGCTAGTAGCTACCCCCTATAGGTGTATAGGTGTCTACGTGTCTTCTCCTGATTTGTCGATTTGGGCGGGCGGTTTTTGAAATTTGAAACGTCTGACGGTTGCGGTTGTCGAGGCAACTTTAACCTTTTGACTTACCTCCAACAACTATAAGTACTAGTCCGTTGTTGGAGGTGGGATTCATTCTGCTTTATTCTGCTTCCTCCGAGCTTTCCCTGTTATATCTTTCTCTGGTTCGCCGTTGAGATTTCTCTCCTTCTTCTACAACCTTATTTCTTCTGTCGCTGTTGCTCATACTTCAAATTGCTATTATGGACAACACCAACACCAACATCGACGAGATCGAGGTCGTACAAGACGAAGAAGGTAATCTCTCCCCCCTTTCGCATGTTTCTTCTGATGCGTCGCTGGAATTGGCGAATTCCGGCGGCGAGAATGACTGGTAGCGCGTCGTTCGATGGGGTCGATTCGGATTCCGACTTCGTTCTCGGAGCCCCAGACGAGGACGATGTTATGTCTGGGAGCGAACGACCGAGCACACGGCCGAGGGGCGTTTTAATAATCCGCCGCGACCGTGCCGGTGGGTCTCGGGTTGCGGATGGTGCTGGGATCGCGGATGCCGCCGAGCGCGAGGACTCCGAGACTCAGTCGGAGCCCATTTTCGCAGAGCCCGTTGATGTGGCGCGCATAACCGAGGCGATGAGCCGCCTCGGCCCTCGTTGTGTAGGCGCGGTTTACACCGTCCTTGATTGGGCGGAGATGTGGGGCGACCAGCCGGCGCCGCACGACAACTTGTTGCGGGGACCTGACCACGCCTCCGTCTACTCGTGCGATGATGTGGAGGAAATCGTGCGCGGTCTTGGTTTGCCGCCCCACTAGGAATACGCGGTGCCTTCCCGGCGGAGTATGGTAGGTAACTGCCCCCCAGGGTGGTTTGGGGTATACAGCGAGTACTGGGTGATGGGCTTTAAGTTTCCCATCGACCCTTTGTTGTGCGTCTTATACAGGCGGCTCAACTGCTCGGTTGGGCGCCTCTCTCCATCTATCATCATGCATGTTTCCTGCCTCCGCCTCGCGTGCAAGAGGCTTAACATCCAGCCTACTTACCGGCTGTTCCGCAAAATTTACAAGATCAAGGAGCCCACCAGCAAGAGCGACTGCCTGTCTATAAAGCGGCGCGATAAGAGGCCTGAAGGATTTGTGTATGGGTCTCCCAAGCTGAAGAAGACGTGGTTTGAACGCTTCTTTTATGTTAAGCCGACGCCGGGGGAGTGGGCGAGTGAGCACGTGGATGAGCCCACTATGTGGAAGAAGGGTGGCACGCTCGGGTACGAGTCAGAACTCGGCGCGTATGATGGGCTTGACCAATAATATGAAGCGTGCATGCTTCAAAAGATGAATCTTTACATGGGCGGTGTTCGCGAGGCCGTTTTGCAGGAGCTCTTTGCCGATGGTTAGTTATGTTTCTTTCCCTTTGTATTCTGTCATATTTAACCGATTTCTTACGATATTTTGGTGCAGGCGTTGACTTCTCGAACCTTGTGAGCATGATGTCGATGGACGACGTCGTGAAGGCTCCCCGACCTTCGCGCAAGGAGAAGAAGAAGAAGAGGGAGGGTGCGCAGAGTAGCAACGCGCCAACGACAAGCAGCAAGAGGAAAGAGCGGACCCAGCCCAGCAGTGCGCCCGTCAGCGGCGCGAAGAGGAAGAACTCGGAGAGGGCGGTGGCCGATGAAAACCCAAAGAAGGCTGCGCGGGTGTCCGAGTCTCAAGAGCGTGAGGCTCCAGTGCTGGAGGAACGACAACAGCCTTTGGTCATTGTCGATCCAGAAGCGCGAGTGGGTAACTCCCCTCGTCCTGAAAGGTTGGTGGCGCCCAGCTCGTCTGGAGCTACCGTGCAAAAGAAGCTTCCCGAGATGACCGGGTTTGGCGGTACCCCCGGCATTAACTAATACCACGATGTGAAGCTTCACACTGGCGCGGCGTGTGGCTCACTCCTACTGTCACTCTAGAAAATGGCCAAGTGTAACCACTTCCTAAAGCGTAGTATAGCGGGTTTGGGTTTTATTGTCAACCCGGGTCCTAGATGTGATGACTACTGGGTGAATTCTTGTTATTTAGCAGTGAACTCTTAGTGCAACTCAAGCAAACAAAAACACTAAGCAAGTAAACGTTTGTTGTCAAGTCAAGAGAGGTCACCCGGATATGGATCCCCCTAGACTGCAGTTAAGTCGGATTGCAATTTACCAAGTTCAGTTTTCATGAAAGTTATACTGCGGAAGGTTCTTAATTAGCCTGAAGTCTCGACTAAAGGTCTCCAGACCCTCTCAATCTGAGTCTCTACCGGGCGACTAACCTCCACCGGAGTAAACAGATTGAGGCCCTAGCGAACCAAACCTCCACTACCGAATTGACTTCGGTACTGAATAGCGAATTGGCTCCTCGACTAAAGTCACCAATTCGCCACCTTCGATTAAGGGTACTCTATCAACCTAGGCAGATATTCTCATTCTAGGTCAAAGCAGAAACAACAGGAATTTGATCAGGATTCAAGTCATTCAATCATTCAAACCTCAATCGAATATAATCAATTCACAAACTCTGTACTTGGGTTCATACAATCAGACCTAGCATACAAATCTAGGGTTCCCCATACCCAGATGAATGGGGAAACTACTCCATAGAGAAAAAAGCAAAAGCAAATTCAGACGCGGAAATCATACTGTGAAGATGGATTTCTGCTCCTGGACGTTTAATCGCACTTCTGCAAGCTCAAGCCGGCCTCCAATGGTGATGAAGATTGATCTATGGCGCTTGGGAACTCTGGTTCGTCGCTTTCTCTCTCTAGGTATCGCTTTCTCTCTCAAAAACTCGGAACCCTCCAATGTTGGCCTTCTTCTTCCTTTTATCAACTGCCTGGTCGCGATACCCGGTCGAAATACCCGGTCGGGTATATTGGGTTTTCAAAGCTCACCGTTTCACTTAAGGGAAGAATCCCCGGTCACTCTCCATAATCCCCGACCGGGGATTTTGCTGTTTTGCCCGGGCCCCTCTCTGTTTCTCGGGCGCCCAAAAGTGATGAATACCCGGTCGGGTATTTGGCCACCTGACCGGGTATTTTCCTCCTGCAGCCCACTTCGTCCCAACTTCGCTCCTTTCGACCCAGAACTCGTTTCTCCGCCTCGATTCCAACGCCGGGACCTGAAATATGACATAAACACACAACCTAGCGTGAAATCGGCTTAAAACGCTAGAATCCACATCTCAAACGGCTCCAGAATGGGGTGAAAACATGTGTAATTATTAGTCTATCAGCGTGCAACAGCCAAACCGCTCAGGCTGCTCTGCGAGCGGTCGGCCCCGTGCTTAGCGTTTCGCCCTTGCTGGAGAAGTCGGATCCGCTTGTAGACCTGGCTCAAATCCACTGGGCGGTAAGAATATTTCAGTTTGGCGCGTAGCATTTCCTTGTTTTGTGGAAAATTTTGCTAAGTTATATAGCGTTGCCGATACAGGGTTTGTTGGCAACTTTTCGGGCTCAGCAGGATCGTGCATCCACCCGCTCGAAACTGAAGGCAGAGGAGTCAAGGATTGTTCAGCTGGAAGGCAAACTCGCCGGCGCGGAGAGTCGCGCGGAAGTGGCGACCAACGGGCCAACAAGGCCTTGACCGAGCTCGGCGTGTGGCAGAGCAGACTGGAGAGTGGTGTGGAGGCTGCGAAGGAGCGTGTCCGAGCAGAGGAGCGCAACGCCATCAGGGAGCAGCTATAGGCCCAGTTCGCGGAGGAGAAGAGGATGCTGGCAGATGATCATGCAGAGAAGCTGAGGTAGGTCCGCGAGGACTTCCAAAAAGAGAAGGATGATCTGGTCCGACTCCACAACGTGGCTAAGGCTGAGGCCGTTCGCGCAGCCCAGGTCACGGCAGTTCGTCAATACAAATCGTCCCCACCTTTTGGGAAGATTTTGGCGGATGCTATGACAAAGGCTGTGATCGCGATTGGCAAAAAGGTGCGACCCGAGAACCCTGGAGTCAGCTGGGACACTCGCGCGATGGTTGAGCACGTCAAAATGTGGATTGGCCAGAAGAAGTCCTTGTCTGATTCGGAGCCGGAAGATAATGAGGAGGAAGAGAGCGCGGATGAGGAAGACGCGGGTGAAGAAGGTGCTGGAGGTACAAGGGGTGATGGGGACCAGACTACTATAGCGCAGTCCCAAACTGATGAGGCGGGACAAGTGTAGGGGTGCTTAGCATGTTATCGTTGTTGCTCTGCTGATTATCTTTCTCTGTTGTTGTTTTTTTTTTAGTGGCGTTATGCTTGTGTTCATCGCTCGCCTTTGTGCTCCCCCACTAATTAATCCAAAAGGACCTTCCCGTTTTGTCTTTCGCGCACGCTTCTTACCATTGCTATATATATATATATATATATATATATATATATATACGAACGAGATATCAATACAGTCCATCACAATCACTCACACACCCCCAGCCCATTTGCTAGCTGCAGTACGATACCGCTCATCCGAGTCCGTCGAGATCACCTTTCGTTTCAAGAAGAGGTAGGAAGTTCTGTTTTTATTCCCGTCGATGTTCTTTTCAAACTGATGATTGTAGTAGCTAGCTCGTTTGCTTTTACTTGCTTAATTTCTTTTCGTCGCCGACATCGTCGTCGAAGTTAGTAGCCAGATCTTGTTTCGATCGTTGTTTGTTTTCTTCCCGGCGAATCGCCCGTAGGCGATCAGTGAGTTGGTTTGCGGAGGTGTATCCCGTCTTCTGTAAACTTCCATCTCCCGTTAATCGCTTGCTTTCGTAAACTTCCGTTAATGGTTTTGGTTTGTCGTCGTGGTTTTCTTTCGGGAGAGTACTTTTCCGGCGCTGTTTTCTTTTGTGGATCTTGCTTGATAGTGTTTTTATTTCCTTTGTAGCTATCCTTCACCTTCAGGAGTTCAAGATCAAGATGCCTATGGCTAATTCATCTGTAAGTATCGTATAGATTTTGTGATGTTTTTGGCAATTTTTGTTATGACTTTGTTTTCTTCCTTTTTCCTAGGGTTGTGAATCCACCTGATTTGGACCGGTTATGAAGCTGAGGTTCGTGACATCGGCAAAGAGCGACTCCAGGAACTCTATGGCGAGCTGTGGTTCTCTTACAGCTGTGGGCAAATCGTGGATGATTTCCGTCAGATTGGTTTGGTTGGTTAGGGAAGTTATGAGAGAGAGAGTAATATGAGAGAGAGAGTAATCAGAGACTCAATTCGTTCTTTGTTTGGTTCCACTGGTGATAGAGTAAATTTCTGTTAGGGTTAATTGTATACATTGCCCTTTTACTATTGTGTGTTACTGTTTTCTCAAAGTATACAATTAACCCTAACAGAAATTTACTCTATCACCAGTGGAACCAAACAAAGAACGAAATGAGTCTCTGATTACTCTCTCTCTCATATTACTCTCTCTCTCATAACTTCCCTAACCAACCAAACCAATCTGACGGAAATCATCCACGATTTGCCCACAGCTGTAAGAGAACCACAACTCGCCATAGAGTTCCTGGAGTCGCTCTTTGCCGATGTCACGAACCTCAGCTTCATAACCGGTCCAAATCAGGTGGATCCACAACCCTAGGAAAAAGGAAGAAAACAAAGTCAGAACAAAAATTGCCAAAAACAACACAAAATCTATACGATACTTACAGAGGAATTAGCCATATGCATCTTGATCTTGAACTCCTGAAGGTGAAGGATAGCTACAAAGGAAATAAAAACACTATCAAGCAAGATCCACAAAAGAAAACAGCGCCGGAAAAGTACTCTCCCGAAAGAAAACCACGACGACAAACCAAAACCATTAACGGAAGTTTACGAAAGCAAGCGATTAACGGGAGATGGAAGTTTACAGAAGACGGGATACACCTCCGCAAACCAACTCACTGATCGCCGACGGGCGATTCGCCGGGAAGAAAACAAACAACGATCGAAACAAGATCTGGCTACTAACTTCGACGACGATGTCGGCGACGGAAAAAAATTAAGCAAGTAAAAGCAAATGAGCTAGCTACTACAATCATAGGTTTGAAAAGAATAGCGACGGGAATAGAAACAGAACTTCCTACCTCTGCTCGAAACGAAAGGTGATCTCGGCGGACTCGGATGAGCGGTATCGTACTGCAGCTAGCAAATGGGGTGGGGGTGTGTGAGTGATGGTGATGGACTGTATTGATATCTCGTTCGTTCTCATTATATACCGGGTGAGGGGAGAAAAGGAGAGAATTAATTGTTTATGCGGGTTTTTTCATTTATTTTTTGGGGCTTTACCAGATATGCCCCTGGACCGGCCATCAGGATTCTGGAATGTTCCCCGTTTTGAGACAGGGGCACATACGTAAATTAACCTCTCCACCCGACCTGTCACCCAGACCCAAGCTTAATACAATGTTGGATCTTTTCAATCATATGCCTTCTGTTTCGTACTTGATATTCAGCTGTGTGTTGCTACTGTAGGCCTTGAAGTCGTGTGATGATCTCCATTTGAGTGAGATAAGATGCTGTTCAAATGCTTTTATATGCTAATCAAGAGTTCTATTGTTGTTTCTCCTTTTCTTATTACTATTACAAAGAGTGCAGGTTGCATGACTTGGTTATGTTGATGTTTCATTCTTCAACTTGTTGTGTGGTTTGATGGGACGAGAGCCATCGTAAATATTTCGCCCTGCAGCTGGACTTTGGTATACTGAGATACAGATCTAATAACTGCACTCTATAAACTCTTCGGGTATCTATCTTTATCTACTAACAGCTCTCTATACACTCTTTCAGGTATCTATCTTTCTGCCTACTTCAAGTCATTTTGGCAGCTCGCCATGATTTTGAAGCTACTAAGTTTTCCTGTCTTTGCAGGCTGTTCTCGATTTGGGTCTTCCAGCAGAACTTCTGTCAGAGATTGAAATACATTGGAAGATCTGATCAATGGTGGTCTTAGTAGCGGTTGATTTCGCTAATAAAAGTTTGAAACATTAAACTGTCTGTGTCATTCCTTCCCTGTAATGTTTTTGTCTTCCTGGAAGGCACATAATCGTGGCCATGCTTTCATTGTGTTCTTATTGCCACCTTGATTTTTATATTATGTTGTACAGTGTAAGCCATGCTTGCTGAGTTTGAAGAAAATAAATCAAATGTGAGCATGTTTGTCATTTACACAAGTCGAACTTGATCAGCTTATCTATACTAGCTGACTTCCATTATGGGCAAGGGGTTCTTAACCTGAAAGGATTAGTCTATTTCTGAGACTACCGATGGTTAATATATTCTCCCTTGAGTTATTTGTTCTATCGTGCCCCCAAACTGTTGCTCGTAAATGTTGAGGTGGCCCTGTCCTTCCACATTCTGGGTAGTGCACTTAAGATTCTATATCTGGTTGGAATGGTCATATAATTGGAAATTTGGTAGCCTTGTTGAAAGTCTCACTGTTCGCATAGATTGTTTCTACTTGGCAGCTTTCAGTATCTGTAGGATCGTATTATCTCTCTTAACGAGGGAATTTTCTGACAACAGTGTCTTTTAAAATAATTATGAGATATTTTCTTTGCTGGAGTTCATGCTTGATTAATTTGAAGAGAGTTGTACCTTTGTACCTGTAGTATGAAATTATATGACTAACCACATGCGAAACATCTGTACTCAAAACTGAATTTCACTTGACATTAGGAAATTAATCGTTAAGAACCAACTGGTTTAGGTGGACCTCTCAATGAACTATATGGTCTTGATTCCAGAGGTGCCCTTGTTGAGTGTCGATCGGTTGTTTGTACGGAGAGGCTGGTCCTGGGACACTGCCTTGTCCTTCCAGTTCTGGTCGTTAGGACAGGTAAGCTATAAGATTGTTATTGTCATAATTTTTAGTTATTTCTATCTACTTTTCTTTCTTCGGTCTTTCATGTTTGGTTAAGTGGTCATGGTGCATGGAGATGTCTCTGTGTGGCTGTTTGAACTTGAAAGTTCTAGGAATCTTCTCTTCTTGCTCTTATTGTTGAATCATGTTGAGTCTCTATAGCCCTTCTATTGTTCTACTATCCTTATGCCAACCAAGCTGAGTATTTTTTTCACCTCTCAAAATTACCTCGTTGTTGAGAGTAGAAATATCATTGTAGCTTTTTTGGTGTGGCAATTTCCGTATGAAGATGGATCCAATTGTAGTTGTCAAAGTTCGAGTACTTGGTAGATGGGCAAGGAAAATTTTAGTAAAGTGCAAGCTCTTAGGGTTCACTTATATTCAAGTTGAAAAGATGTCAAGGATATCTTTCAGATTTTTAAAGATAGCGCTGCTAAACTTACTGAGGACAGTAGCACATTGAAACGCCAGGTTCAACCTCTTTGTTTCTCATTGCTTCTGACGTATGGACTCTGTTTGCACTGTTTATAGCTGATTGGAAATCCATATTTCTTTTTAACCTGGCTGATTGCATATGTACCCTGCATGATTAAATCTTTCCTGTTAGCAGATGGAATGTTGCTGTTGACATTGACAGACAAAGAATGATAGTGACTCTTATTCTGAGATTGGTGTTTTCATTAACACCATTGATCGTTACAGTGGACATATTTTAGGTCAGGCAAATCTTTTAATGCTTGCCATTATTCATGTCAAGTTCACTTTTGTCCTACTAATCAAAACTACCAAAGATCTGTGCATATTTGTGGCTAATGTCACCACATGCTTTCACAGAAACTAAAATCAGATTATCCTTGTGTTATAGAGTCGTTATGTCTTTCATTTCGATGTATTTGCAGGTGAAGAACAAAATCATGCGGGAAGTTATAGATTTTGTGAAAGGACACTTAACTGCTCTTTGATCAAATTCTTCATGTAGACATTTATGATGCCCGATGAGTTGACAATAGAGCAGGTCAATCTTGCCTTTGGTATACTAAGCAAGGTAATCATCAGAAACCTGCTGTCAGAACTCTTTTTTCTTCTTCTTATGAATGCTGTCAGAACTCGTTGGAAGTGCGTTTTGATTTAATCTTGGCACTTTTAGGATTTAAGTCATCTTCAGAAGCTTGGAAAATTTTCTATCTAGTCAAAATATCTTCTTAACAATATACTTCTTATTCCTCTGCTTCTCTGGCTTGTGTTTGTAATTTTACTGAGTGGGAGATTCTGTAGAATAAGTTGGCTTGCTATTTGTCTGCTAATTTGTGTGGTATGAAACTAATAATATATATTCCTTGTTTCGTTCCCCGTAAATTGTAGGTGTGGCCTTATGAAGAGAGGAATGAGTTCGGTTTTGTTCAAGGTCTTTTGAGCATGATGTGTGTTCTTTGTTCACGTGAATTTAAGTCTAATACTACAGGAAGATCAGCTAAGGTATCGCCTTCTTTCCCGGCTTAAAGTATGATTACAGTGATTTGCCAGACAACGTTGACTACCAAACTTCTGCTAGCATCCATCACCCCACTTTACGGACTTGGGTTCGCTTCTCAGCTTTGCGGCAACTTCTCTGATATCCAATTGTTTTTAAAGTAATTATTATTATTATTATTATTATCTCAACTTATTTGTGCCGAAACGAGAACTTTTGACTTCTTAAAGTATGTTGTTCATCCTGCCATATCTCTTAGGGATGTTAATATGATCTGTGTTCTTCAGATTCGGCATGTGAACGAGCTGTCCAGACAAGAAGTGGATGAGATCACCAAACATGTTTTTCGGCAAGACACTGTATAACCTTCTGATGGTATACAAATAAGGTACGGGTACTGTTGTTGAATTGCACAACAGATTCTGTTGTAATTTCCATTCCTGATCTTTGGAAGCTAGGAAACCGAATTAGAAAGGTGCAACTCCACCAACATTTCATATTTGGCTGGATTTCGAATGAGTAGGTCATTTGTTCACAGGAGATACATCGTAGTGGTGGGGATGTGCCAATTGGCTGGAAACAGAGATCAGTCTATCAGATTGTTACTTCTACTCGAGAACAAGTGCTAAACGTCATTCACGTTCATTTACAAGACAGGTAGACATGCCCTCTGTCTGACACCTACCCCCATGTTCGACCTAGGCAAATCCAGAGAGTACAGACCATCCCTAGTTCTGAATGAGACCTGATTGGTTCACAGCCCAGCCGACGGTATACTGTATCGTAGTGCAGTCCTTAAATTAATGACCGGAGGATGAGTGATGTTGTCAGGCATTGTGACGATTGCTTGTAACGCATTCGCCTCATTCTCCTTTGGTGTACCTGTGCTAATGTTGTTCTCTCTTATTCGATTTCTTCTCCTGGATTTGGGTGGGGAATAATAGTTGCAATGTTACCATTTCCGTCAATAAAACTAATACTAGGTACTTAAAGCTAATTTTCCCCTCCACGTCACCATCTGACTGAGTCAGATTTGGCCCACTTTATGAATGGGCCTCTTACTTGCAAGGTGGATTGTTGACCATTTTCCGAATTCCAAATCATCTGGGTCGTTGACCCTTTTCTGACTCCGACCAATCATTTCTTGAATCAATGGCGCTTTGCACTAAGTCCTAGAAGCTGAACAACTAGGAAGCGAAGAGGAATAAGAGCTAGCGACGACGGCGGAAGTATGGGATCTTCAATCGGCGTCAGTACTTTAATCGGGTGGGTGCGGATAGTATAACTATTTGTTGTTTTTTTTTTTTTGACTGAAATCTGTATGAGCTTTATTAATCAGTTAACGCGGTTACATCGTCCAGCTGAAGCTGATTAAAAAGAAACCCCGGAGGGCTATCAAACCAAATCATAGTCTCATTCCAGCTCGACATGGCATGCGCCATTACGTGGGCGGCTTCATTAGCTTCCCTGCATATGTGATGCCACCTACACTCGCCTGTTCCTTGTAACAACCGCTTAACATTCCTGCAAATCACCCCTACCTCATCCTGTATCTCATGCGCCGCCTGCAGCTTATGGATAACAACTTGGCAGTCCGACTCCAGTACTACCTTCTGGAAATGCCCATGGACCGCCATTTGCGCCCCGAACTCGGCAGCCAAAGCTTCGGCTTCCTCCACCTTCCAGCACCCAGGGACTCTCTTCGTCGCGGCCAAGCAGAACCGGCCATTGGAATCCCGAATGACAGCGCCCAAACCAGCTCCCTCTTCACCCAAAATGCCTGCATCTGTGCAAACTGAAACCCAACCTGAAGGCGGCCGTCTCCACCCTTTTCTCACCGTAGTCTCCATCTGTTCAACCTGTCTTCCTTGATGGGTTCTATAGTCTTCTAGTAGGTATTTTGCCCGCACCACTATCTCCTCTTCGGGTACTTTTGCCCCATTAAACAAATGGGCATTTCTTTCCTTCCAGAGATACCAGAGCAGAACACACCAACCTTCAAACTTCTCCCTACTTCCCACCTCCAAAGCCGTCTTAACCCATAGGTAAAAAGAATCTTCCTCCTTCTTCAGCTGGAATAGACCCACAAACTCTGACTGTCTCCAAATCCTGGACATCCACTCGCATTCACAAAATGTATGCTGCTGGGTTTCAACCAAATCGCAGAACGGGCACCTATCACTTCGTCGGGGGCACCTATAACTATTTGTTGTTACTATAACAACAAAGGTAAAATGGAAAATTAACAAATCTGAACCCCTTTTCCTCTCCGCTTCTTTTCCACGTTCCGTTCCTTTCATTACGAGTTGCGACTCCTCGGTTGCCGCCGCATATCCGAACCATCAGCAACCACTATTCAATCCTCCTCCGCCACCACTCAACCTCCTCCATCCAAGTTGTTTCTCCCTCCTTCTGGTTTCGACGCCGACGCCGACGCCAACGCGGACCCCTCGATTTCAAAGGCACAAGCATCATCGGATCTTCCTCTCTTCGATTCGTTTCCGCTGTGGAAGTGGAATCCGGCGGGGAGATTTTTGCCTGCTGCTGGGAATCGAAGCCGACGGCGGAAGGAATTCACAAAGTGCAGAGCGAGATGATCAAGTTCGCGAGGGAGCTGACCAGATTTGCTCATTTCTGAATTGTGACAACCTTATTTCAGAGCGCTGAAAGAGTTCTTTTCTGGTCCCCCTTTCGAGTGCTTGTAACTCTGGTGTTGACTCATGATTCTTCTTCCATCACCATGCTGATTCCGCTCTTATTTTTTACTAACAGCATCTCCATTGGTGTAATTGCATTTGTGATTTTTTTGACACAACACCATTTTTACAAGCCAACTCACTTTATTTTCATTGTACCTACATTGGTGCAATTAAATTGCAATTGCATATGAGGCCTAAATTTTTTTATTGCATTAAAGAAAAAAAAAAACATAGCCACACGTTGGCAGTGTGAACTTAAAGAAAAAAAAAAACAAATGATATGCATTTCCAGCGTGACTTGCAATGGAGAATTGCAACAAATGAAAGATACCATTTTTGCTATCACAACTCCCAACGGTGCAATGGGGAAAAGCAATTGCATCCCTCTGCCACATCAAAATGCAATTGCATTGTGCAAGGCCCGTTGGAGATGCTCTTATATGCAAGCTTGCAAAGATGCAATTGTCATCTACATCAATCCAATTGCATAATGCAATTGCAAATGAATGTCATGTCATAATGCAATTCTAAATGCAATTCCAATGGAGATGCTCTAATATGAGATTGTTACTCGTTCCAGATTCTTATTGTTGCCTTGTTGGTTAAAGCTTTATGTAGAGGTGGGAATTTTCAATCCAATCCACCAACTCATTAAAAATATCCACCTAATCCAATCCATTTAAATCCAATCCATTTGATCCAAATCCAATTAGATTGGTGGATTCATGGATTGATCCATGGATCCAAATGGCAAATTACAGTTTGGTACCTATATTTTTATATTTTACATTTTGGTACCCAAAATTTAATTTTTATACGAAAAATATAATTGAAAAATAACGTTTTGGTACCTAAAAAATTTTCATTATGACATTTTAGTACCTAACCTTTTCACATTTTACATATTAGTCCTTGGTTGAGAATGTCATTTGGATTCATGGATAATCCATCAATCCACTTGATCCAATCCACTTGATCCAATCCATTTGATCTATCAATCCAATCCACCAATCCATAGATCAATCCATTTGCCACCTCTATTCAAAATTGATCTCTTTCTAGAGAGAGCACAAGGGTATTTTATTATGTATTTTAATATGTATTATTGTGTTTATGGTATGATTGTTATGCATACCACAACTGTCTTATAAACATACCATAATTCGTCTAATTTAGACCACAAATACAGTGAACCAAATCACAAAATACATATAAGAAATCTCCTAATGCAAAGCACAAATCGCCTAAAACATACTAGAAACCCCACAAAGCAAATCACAAATATTTCATAAGCACACCAGAAACCTCCTAATGCAAACCACAAATGCGATAATACAAACCACAAAAAGCATATCAGAAACCTTCTAATGCAAACCACAAATACTTTAAAACGTACCAGAAACCCCACAAAATAAACCACAAAATATGTCATAAGCACACCAGAAACCTAATAATGCAAACCCCAAACACGGTAAAAGTAAACCACAAAAAGCAAATCAGAAACGTCCAAATGCAGACCACAAACATATTTAAACAAACCAGAAACCTTACAAAGCAAACCAAAAAAATTTCTAAAGCACACCAGAAACTTCTTAATGCAAACCACAAACACGATAAAGCAAACCACAAAAGGCATACCAAAAACACGAGAAACCAAACCATAAATCTCACAATGCAGACCATAACATCCAGTGGTCATTGACCAGTCAACGAAGTTCGTTGACCAAACTCCGATGACCGTCAGTGAGCAGATTCCGACGCCGATAGGCATATTCTGGCCCCGATGACTAGATTCCGACGCTGATAAGCATATTCAAACCACGGTGACATATTCCGGCAACCGTAGGCATATTCGACGACAAAATAGCATATTCCAGCGACAAAAAACATATTCCGGTGACCGGCGACCAGATTCCGGCGACCGGTGACCAAATTCCGGCGACAGAATTTTGGACAGAAAATAAAAAATTAATTTTTAAAATTTTTTATTATTATTTGAACATATTTTTCATAATGACAATTATACCCCTGCTTTGATTTTACATTAGGTCAACTCAGCTAATAAAAAGTCATCACAATCCTAGCTTCCTATTGGTTGGAGACTAGTGTTGTCACCCTTACAACAAAAAGAGTGTTGTTATAGTAACCGGTCTCACTTTAATCGACAAGAGAAAGATTGAACAATACCAGGTAGCCAAGTGCAGAGCGGATAACTACTGAAAGCATCTAAGTAGTAAGCCCACCCCAAGATGAGTGCTCTCCTATCCCGACTTTCCCAGCGCCCCCGATAGCACAACCGAGACAGTGACGAGTTCTCTGCCCCTAAGAAAGAGGACGAGAAAGAGCGTGCCAAAAGATTCCCCTCTCAAGCGCAACTCTGTTTACAGAGGCATCACCAGGTCAGTAATTATGATCATCCATCATTTATCTCTAATATTTAGTCAATTAAATACATAGTAATGGAGAGTTGTTGAATTAATTATGGTTAGCTCCGGGCCTCCGGCAGTGATGCCTCTTATTGGTTCGCCGGAACCACAATTTGGAATTGGGATGGGTTCACATCCTTAAGCCCCAATACTTAAGAACCTCCTTAAGTTAATTTAGGCCATTAGATCAATCATAATTAGTTAGTGGTTGGTTACCCGTTTTTAGGTAGTTAAGGGTAGTGATGGTATTAGAATTTTAATTTAATCAATTGTGGTAATATTCATTAATTATAAACCCGAGTCTTGCGTTGCATTCGTTAGTTTTTTTTTTCCCTAGGGGTTTTTGCCGCCACAACAGTTTGTGGCTCCGGCGACCCAATTCCCTGCTGCGTGCGATGATCTTTTGCTGCTGTCAGAACATCTAGTGGCTGCGACTCCGGCTCCGCTTGAGCTCCAGCATTTTCGTCAGCCGCTCCGGCCTTATTAACATGGTTGATGGTTGAGGTCTTGAGGAGGTTTGGGCATCCACCTTTGGTTACGGAAAAATCACATTATTAATAATCCAACCAATTTCATTGACAATATTGTCACATTTGGATTAATAACCTACATGGTTATCAATATTTATCTTTTCTGTCATTTTGTATGACTATTGTTAATGAAAAAGTCTTCGTTATTAATGGAATGCGGCACTTTTCAACCGGACTATAAGGCCACCGATTAAGCATTCACAACTTTGCTAACTAACGTCAAATAGTAGTAATATCATACATAATTATTTACAAAATTAATTATTGATAATCCAACTATTTTTCATTACAAAACATTGCAAACACCGTTAATAACATGCCGTTAGAGTCAAAGATTGCTAATCGGGTTAATACTCACTAATAATGCAACCCAATTGTGTTAATAACGTCGATGGTTATTATAACACCTTAATGTCATTTCGTGTTACTATTATCAATAGAAACTTATCCGTTTTTAATCAAAATATTTAACTTTTCATCGTAATTATAAGTACGTCAAATATAAACGTCTACACATGTAGCAAACGATTTGATCGCAATTAGTTTTAAATTTTTTAGTTATTATCATTATGTCTGGTGAGAATTCTTGTTTAAAATGTATCAAACCATAAAAACTGATTCCCCCATCATTTTTTTTTTTATCATCTCATATCCATGGCATTTTAGATGATGATGATGATGATCTGTTTTGGTGAATTTTGAATCTGTGTTATACTAACATCTTTGGCTGTGGTACAGGCATTATGGACCGCAACCAAGAATTTGCATCAATTTTCATTGACCAGGAATGTGCAGGAAAAGAATGGATGTTGCTGGCAACCAACTTGAACCAAGCTTATAGGTGAGCCTGAAGAAGTCTGTTGGTTATATCGTTGGCCTTCCGGTATGAAAGCAGCTATTATAAAATTTGATGCCAAATGATCCTGCCGTCATGGATGGCTTGGTGCAGTATACATGCTAAGTATTCTCCTTGTGTCTTTCATTGTTGGAGTGAATGAGAGTGCATCTGGGTACATCAAGCCATATAGCACTACTCTGTAAACGTTGAAAAGTCTTTGGATGATGTGAGCCTAATTGCTCCTCTTGCAGTTCAAGCTTCCTGACCCTAGTTCTGTTGTGTCTAGTTCATAGTCAATGTATCGTTCTGTTAGAAGCATCTTGTTGTAAGTTAATTGATCTTCTGAATACTTTTAGGCATTATTGTATACTCATCTTCAGGAAATTTAGTCTCCTAAGTTCCGGTACAGAATTTCTTTGTCTTTGCTCTTCAAGGTTCTCTAGGTTACTACTGTGTTTCTGCTGTTCATTCCCCCAGTTTTCTGACGCTAATTCGTTCTCTCCAGGTAGCATCTCTGCCTCTCTGTTTTAGCCGCGGGACATCTTAACCTTGTGGGGAGATATGGGAGTATTCCGAGCCTGTGGCAGTTCATTCACTCGTCATGGTGGCTTGAAAGTTCATACAATGTTGGATCGGCGGAATATGGACTGCACTTACAAGGGTTACTCTCAAAAATGTTGTTGTCTGAACCTTGTTTGGCATGAGATTGAAGGCGAAAGTTTCCCATGCAGTCTTCCCTTTCATTTTGAGCTGCAACTCACCACGGCCAAACTCATTGTTTGTTCTGCAATAAATTCGTTCCCTGTGATTGTTTCATGATGAGTTTTCCGTTGTATGGGCGGCTTCGTTCGCTAGTAGAGTTGCTGTTGAAAGCAGAAGCAAGATATGAGAGACAATAGAAATGTAATAAGCTAATTGAAGGATGATACAGATTTATCAACTTTTGTGAGTTGCTGATTCTTTATAGACACAGTCCAATGTGTATATATCGTGGCAATTGAGCATCTGAGCTTTACTATTGCAGATCAAATAACTTGGAGTGAAGTTGTGGTGCCTGCAGCAGGAGGGTAGCTCAGTGACTTCAGCCACTTTGACAAAAAGCAAAGACGAGAGACGGTTTATCTCTTTAGGGAATCTAGACTCGCTAGTGGAATGTGCAACTTCACGACGGTGCTTTTATTAAAAAAAAAAAAAACATTTTATCCGTTGCAAAGTTGCAACTGTTTCTGACGAGTCCTCGGAAGGAACGAGCTCTCTGCAGGGCTTCAGTTTTTCAGTACATCAGCTCACTGAACTCTGTTTCTCCAATCAAAAAGCCACAAAAGAGAGATCCGGCAACCCGTTTCTTTCAATTTCCCAGATCCAATCTCCCAATTCTTTCCCGTTAAATTCTACCCACCTCCATAGCTTTCCCGGGGAAAATTTTACAGTGTGGAAGAAGATCCTCGAATTCGTTCATTCCCCCTCACCCATGGCAAATGCCTGGAGAAGAGGAGAAAGCAGGCACCCAAAGCTTCTCTCTCCAAAGCCGCTCCTCCTCCTTCTCCTCTCCCTTTCTCTCCTCCTACTCTTCCTCTTCCTCGCTTTCCGTTCCCCTTCAGACCCTAATCTCACGCCATCACTCTCCCTCTCCAATCCTTTCCCAAAACCCTATCCAATCCCCACTTTCAACTGCTTCGATTCGCCGCAAGCTCACCCTGTAGTCGCCAACTTGGTCGAAAATGTCAAGTACCCTTTCCTCTACTCGCTCCCGGATTTCGGATCCTTGCCCGATAAGCCCCACAAGAACCTCGTCCGGCTGCTGAAGGGGAAGCTGTTTCGGAAGCCTGATATCTCCGCCACGATTCAGGGGATTCTGGAAGGGATGAAAAAAAAGGAGGGGAAAAGCGATGGCGGGTTGGTTGTGGATGTTGGGGCGAATGTGGGGATGGCGAGCTTTGCGGCTGCGGTTATGGGGTTCAAGGTGCTGGCTTTTGAGCCTGTTCTCGAGAATTTGCAGAGGCTCTGTGATGGGATTTGGTTTAATCGAGTTGGGGAGTTGGTTACTGTTTTTGAAGCTGCTGCTTCGGATCGTGTTGGGAATATCACTTTCTACAAGGTAATTGGACCTTGTTCTTAGTTATAACTTCTATGTCACTGTGCTGATGATTGATTGACTGATTAGAAGGATTGAACATTTCCTACAGTAGTATCTAGTAAGGATTTGTGTTTGGAAAAAACCTAGTTCAAGGAAATATGTTTAGCTGTAGATGCGGGCAAGCTTGGAATCCTTGGCTTATGAGGAATAGATTGAGATGAACAGAAATGATGAAACTAGGTCAGTCAGAGTGCAATTAAGTTGACGATTATTGTTAATCCTCAATGTTAATCCTCCGAGAATACATAGTATGCACTAAGATGCCAATGTTTTTCCTTCTTTCATGACGATTCTATTCGAGGCAAAGCTGCATGCAATGCAGTCAGTCGTCCCTTAACTTTTGTTTGGTTGCGTATCAGTTGGTAGGGCGACTCGACAACAGTGCTATCTCTGCCACTGGTGCAAAACTGGCGTTCAAGTCGAATGAGGAAGTAGCAGTTCAAGTAAGGACCATCCCACTTGATGAAGTGATCCCTGAGTCACAGCCTGTGCTTCTGCTCAAAATAGATGTCCAGGGCTGGGAATATCATGTCCTCAAAGGAGCCTCCAAATTACTATCGAGGAAAAAGGGTGAAGCCCCATACATCATCTACGAAGAAGACGAGCGCCTGCTTCAAGCCAGCAATAGCAGTGCCAAAGAGATCCGAGATTTCCTGCAGACCGTTGGCTACCATGATTGCACACAGCGTGGTACAGACGCCCACTGCACTAAGGGCTAGAGATCAGCTTTTTTGGCTGGTTGATGTAGAAAGTTGACATTCCATGAATTATTATTTATCAAGGATCTCATTTCTTGCAAGTAGAGCTTCCACTGTGGAAAGATGTTCATTTGCTCGCGAGTTCTTGTACATTTGAGTTTGATTTATTAGAAAGAACTGGAGAACTGAGGGAAAAGTAGGATAGAAGTTTGTATTCAGAATTTTATTCTATTTCCATGATTGGTGTAGTTACAGAGTAACAAATATTCGATGTACAACTAATGAATGAATGAGAGAAACTGTAATCTCTCTGCCATTCTATCCATATATATGAGCATTCGATTTGGTCGATATGCTTCTCGATCAGTAAATTGAACATCTATTTTGTCCTGCAATGCAAAACATCTGAATCAAACACTGACAGCTATCCAGAGACTCTGATCACTTCTCTGAACCATGAAGGATGGTTGGATCATCACCGCAGCACTGAAGCTTTGCCAGCATCATTTTGGTGCACTGGTTTTCGAAGGGCCAGCTCTCTCCACCATAACATCATAAAGCTGTTTGCCATTCTGTTTACAGGAAAGACCATGGATCAAAGTCAAGGAAATGAGACCAAAAACCAGAGGATGGCTTTCTATAAAGTAAAATAAGCAATATTTAGGACTCCAAAACCGATTTTGGTAAGATAAGCCTCCATTAGCAGCACTTGGAAGCTGGAATAATCTTAAGATCTGTTGTTACTTACAAAAATGATAGGGAAGAAGTGGATTTGGCCTTCAGGTTTTGTTTGTTTCTCCTTAAAGTACACCAGGATAGGGAAGCTAGGCCACCATAGTTCCCAGTTGACAAAACTAGAATACCTGTTTGCAGAAGATCAAACAAGTCAGTGGCCTTCAGGCCTTATTCTTTACCTCCATTGAAGTATATAATAGAAGCACTGACAGAGGTACTTACTTCCATCGGTTCTTCCCACCAACGAATACATTTTCGCCTGACTCCTCAAGCTGCTCTCCTACTTTCACCTCCTACGATCACAGAAAATCAAACATTCTCGGATTAGCCAAAGAAACTGGAAGACATTGAAGATGTTGGTAAAAAGGTGAGTGAACTAACCAAGGCCTCATTGTCAAACACAAATCTCACCCGGGTAGTCTGGTAGAAAGAGAAACACAACAAATCAGCTGAGATCAATGATAAGCACCACAGTTCTGCATTTCATCGACCTAATCAACATTATGTTTCATCATATAAATCTCACCTGAAACAAGAGAAGCAATCCAAGCAACCCAACTGGTACAGCTGGTACAAGGTTATCTGTATAGGCTAAGCCACCAGCCATACCTGTTTCAAATTGAAGCATTCATTTAGCTTTTGTGTTATGAATAAGAGATTCAATTGTTGTTTAGAATGAACCATCCATATAGAGCGAGCGAGAGTGAGAGAGAGAGAGAGAGAAAGAGAGAATGAAGATACCAAGAAGAACAATGGGGATCCGGTAGTCAGGATCAGGGATTACAGTTTCTTTCTTCTGTGCTCTCCGACCAAGCTGTGCGAAGAACCCATATATTAGCAGCAAAAAATTGCCTTCAGTTATTATTTATCGACTTAGTTCAAATGTAAGGAAAACACAAGCAAATTTGGAAGGGTTTAGAGTTACAGACCACTGAGGCAACAACTGTAGTACGGGTACGGCCTTCTCCTTGGGTTCTGTTGAACTGAGTCCTTATACGATAAGGATTACACAGCAGTTTCCCATAGAATGAACTCTTCAGGTTCCCGAAACATCCTTTCTGCTCACTATCTGCTTCTAAACAGAATTGAACAGAGAAGATAACACAGTAAGTAACACCAATAGAAATGAAGTAAAAGACCAACCGTATCATCAGCTACCTAGTAACAGTAAAGAAAAATCAAGAAGGCGCGAGCTTTTTTCCGAGTAAGGCCTAAAGATTCTTACTTTGTGAAGGTACGAAGCGCGAAATCGATAAGAGAGCACTCGCCATGGCTTCTACTGTTCTCTTGCTTTTCGGAGGCGAAAGGATTCCTCTGTTTCTCTTCCCCTCGTGGAATTTTTTTGGCGTGAAAATTGGTTTGTTTTACTCTCTTACCCTTAGTTTCATGGTGGGTTTTCAGCAATAAAAGGGTATTTCAGTAAATGTCAGCTCAAAATTGTCTTTTGTCCTCCATTTTTTCTGTTCTCCAAGGAGAAAGTGAGCCTTATCTGGTTAATTCATATCCAGAATTCGTTTAAACCCACAAAGACCTTCTTGTTCCTCTCATTCCAAAGATTCGAGCTTTGGTTTCAGGGGAAAAAAACCCATTGCTCATTTGTCTGTACAATGGCGAGTTGTTCAAGCTTCACTACCATTTGCTCTCTTAATTCTCCAGATAAACCAGGTAAAGTCTCTGCTGCATCTGTTTTTCCCCAGTGCTTACTTGGGTTCCTGACTAAATTTGTTGGCTATGGCTGTCTGAAACACAGGAATTATTGGGAATTCAGTTCCTGGAAGGGTTATTCAAGTCAGCAAAGTTTTCCAATCCTCAAAAGTTTCAAAGTCTCGGTCTTTGGAGGTCAAGGTAAAGTTATTGCTTGATACAGTTTGAGTTGGAAAATTGGATTGGTAGTCTAGAATGAAATTTGCTTGAGTTTTGCTTCAAGCAATTTGGATTGCTGTTGGTAATGTGACTGCTGCTACGTTTGAGTTGTAAGGGCCTTTGTTCTCTGATTGAATTATGCTTATGTTATAGGAATTATAGAAGATGAAGCAATGGGCATATTCTGATATTAGATTCATAAAAAAAATCTGAGATTAGTAAACTTTAGGCTGGTACTATATTTGAGACAGTTTCATTAATGTTAAGTGGATAGATAAAAAGGCAGGCATTACTGATCTGGTTAACTAATCTCAGCAAGTTCTTGGTTAGCTGCATGAAGTGCAAATTATTGTGTTACCAACTCTGGAATTTCCTGTATCCAATTGCAGAAATCAATTCTGCTGATCAGAGCTTAATCCGGTTTCTATTAATACTAGCTTGATGTTTTGACTCGTTTTATCTCTTGGTGTGACAGGCGACAGATGGTAACAAAACTGTCAAACCAAGGAGCATAGTCTGTACCAACTGCGAGGGCAATGGTAAAACCCGAAGCTACATTCAGACATCCAGTGCCAACTTTGATCCTTTTTTATCCTCTTCTCCTGGTAGAATGAAAATCATGAATGTAAATTAAGATGAACTTTCCATTATAAAAAAAAATTAAGATGAACCTTCACATCAAGCTTGTCCTTGTAACATGGATCATCTGTTGTCACTGACAGCCACACACAAATTCCTCATCTCTAAGATTCCTCCACTGATGCAATATACCTGTTGGATTATGAATAATTTCAATGCGAAGTAAACTCTCTGGCTTCATACCAATTTGTTTCTGCTTTGTTCAAAATTTTCAGGGGCTGTAGCATGTTCCCAGTGCAAAGGCTCGGGAATCAATTCCGAGGACCACTTCAATGGGCGGTTTAAAGCCGGTGGAATGTGCTGGTTATGCAGGTACTATCCACTTCCCCGTCCCAAGTTAATTACAGTAGCTTTTAGTTACCCAGTGGCTGTGGATTTAGTACATATGCTGGCTTTGTAGGGGGATTCATGGGCAGAAACCAGCTCTCTCTAAATTACACACCTTTTTTTTCATTTGCAGAGGTAAAAGGGAGATGTTGTGTGGGAACTGCAACGGAGCTGGCTTTGTTGGGGGACTCATGAGCACTGCCGATGATTGAAAAGACGAAACGCATCTACGGTGGACAACTGCGGAAATGTGGAAAGAGTTAACATGTCAATTCAGTATTACTACTCACAGTCACAGAGATTAAACTGCTGTACTCGTGATATGATATCAAGAACGCAGATTGTAATGCAAAGCATTGTTCATGTTTTTGGTTACATTTCTTATCCACGTTTTAGAGAGTTTGTACTCCAGCTTGTGGAGATGCATAGTTTCTGTAAGGTTTTGATTCCAGAGAGAAATCCTACAAAAAAAAAAAGTACTTTCATCCCTGTGTTCCTTGTTTGAATCAAGAAATAAAAAATTTACATTCCGCGCCAGGTAGGGGTCGAACCTACGACCTTCTGCTTAGGAAACAGACGCTCTATCCACTGAGCTACAGGCGCCTCTGATATTACATAGTGTAATAATATATTAAAATCAAATTCTGATATTGCCGTGTACTGGACAGCCATGGATGAGCTGAGGCTGAGGTGGAAGCGTTGCAGATCTGACATTTGGGATGATTATGGAGAGAAAGTAGAAGAGGAGGAGGGCTAGATGTAGATTCTGGAGTGGCTTCATAGTTCCTTTTTTCTGATATCACCTATGGTTAACTAGGTTAAGAGGGAGTGTTTCATTATCATCATCAGAAGAAGATTTTGTTGTTCATACAAAATCTTTAAATATGATTTCCAATCATCCATTTCTATTCGATATAGTTATCTAAGACTTTCATACTTCATACTGTGTACAAATAAACTTGATCGTTTTACTCGAAGAAATGAGAATGGATAAGATAAATTAATATGTTCTAATATGTTATCTATTGACGACATACAGAAAAGTTCAATGTATTTCTAAAGAAAGTAAAATATATATATATATATATATATATATATATATATATATATGGTTATGTCTTCGGTGCACTCACTTTTTTGGGTGCATTCAATGCACCCGCCTCATAATCGTCATTCTGAGCAGGCGATTCATGTGAAAACAATGTCAATCATCCCTTGTATTATGATGAACAAGAACCACATGAATTTGTACAAAAATCATTCAAGATTCACTTTAATTTGAATGATTCAGGGTTTAGGAATTTAGGGTTAGGGTTTACAATTTGGGATTTTGGGTTTAGATTCAAAATTGAATGTTAATAGGTTAGGGTAATGGGTTGATGAGTTGTGATTCTGTGTTATATGATTAAATTTCAAAATTTGATGTATTATGACCACTTTTAGAGGTGGGTGCACTGAATGCACCCAAAAAAGTGAGTGCACCGAAGTAGCCACCATATATATATATATATATATATATATATATATATATATATTAGAATAGAAAACCAAATATAATAACACAAAAGGACACTTATTACATGCCTCGTACTATTCGTGGATCGGACAATTCAACGAATTGAAATGTGATAAATTGTCGGACCAATCAATTAGGAAGAAAATTGATTGTGTGCTGATTACTAAACCTACCCTTTTTGGTTAAGATAAGATGCCCTATGCCAGGATTCAAAAGTAATGGTGGGATCTTCAATAGACAACTTAATCCAAATTGGATTTGCCATGCATACTTTAGTGGTATCAGATTTGTATCATAGCATAATTTCAACCTCTAAATATAGCAGTAGGGTCTCACTTATTAAAGATTGGGGGACTGTTTTGGGCACTAATAATGTTCCTGTCCACATCAAGCCAGAACTATTACTGGCAAAAGGCTGACAAAACTATGCAGCAACTCCTCCAAGTTGCAGTAATAAGTTCTTTTACTGCCTTACTTCTCAACTTCGCCTATTTGGTTTTAAGGGTATGCATTATTCGAAAAAATGTCACGCCTTTGATCTAACGAATGAAAACATGTGGGCAATTGGACGGTGCGAGCAAGAGCATACTCTCATCTCTATAAGCATTCTATCCATCTTCCTTCTTTCTACCATCAACTGAACTTGAATTCCATCTTGAAGAAGCTAGAATCCAGAACCTGAGAACCTCATAGTAAGAGACCATTTCAGTCCTACAGACTACTGTTGAAGATACCTTGGCAGACATATATATTGCTTAGGTAGAGATCATATTCACAAATTTCTTTCTTTCTTCTTAATGCCCTTGAATCAAGTTACAGCATTTTTCTTTCATGTTTCCTTTCAAGTGGGGAAGTAAAGTAAAGATAAGCTAGGTTTTGCAGTATAGACATCGATAGACAAGGGCTTCAGCCGTACCGAATGTATTCACTACCACAGTTCGCTTATGACAGTACTAAACGGAGGATCTCCCCTGAATGCTTGAATGACTTCTCTGTTTCTTCTAAACAATGGTTCTTCTCTTCTCTGGTCCAGTTCTGCAGCATTTCCATAAACGAACATAAATTTCAGTTAAAGAGTGGCTGTAAAATCCTGGAATTCGTAAAGAAACTAATACTACATAGCAAAATGAAATCACCTCCGCGACTTTATTCAACTTGTCCCTGACATTCTGCAGAATTTGCGAAAGATCCCCCTCCCATTTGTAGAATTCCAACTCTTTATTATTGAGTATCTTTTCAGCCACCTAAAACCATAGAAAGTTGATAAGACATGTATTAGTATTGCCGCAAGCAACATCTCAACTAATTTGATAGCTTCACACAAAAGAGAACCAGGAAACATATTTAATTGCACTCCACAAAAGCTAAACAGCAGCTGAAATCACCATAGAGTTTGATCATTTTCTGAATATAAATCATAAGTTATGAGAAACACGCTTCGACAGACAGCAACAAACTTGGTTTTCAAGAGAACACGACACTATGATTAAAATTTAACCTATTGAAGTACAGTGTTTACCTTCCTTCCAATCATGCGACCACCAGCGGAGTGGGCAAAGTATATGTTGTAGAAGTGGCAAATGAATGCCTGAGGATCCTTATCTGCCAGTTCCTTCAGATATTCGGCATAAGTAACTCCAGGAGAAGAAGGTTCAGGAATGGTGTAGCCTTGCTCTTTGAACCATTCCAGATCTTTAGCCAAATTTCCAGACCTTTCCAACCCCGTGTTCTTAAACTCAGCATCTACGATAACAAATGTAGGCTTTAAGCTTAATCGTAAATGAACTGCACAACACACAAGACTGCGCCAAAGGTAGTAAAGATGGAGCTTAACAACACGAACACAATCTCACAGAAGAATAAGACTAGGAACTAAATGTGGCAAAAGGAAATGCTGAAAGGACATTTTCAACCACTAATCTGCTTTTCTGATCCAACGTCTATAAGCCTAGCGATACAATTTAATGAGATGATCTGTAACACTAGTAGACCACGTAAGAACTAAACCTGCAGCTAGTTCAACCACTGCTTTTTCACTAACTGACGTCACTTAGAGGAATCAGAATCTAGAAAAAAACACAAAACATTCTCTGCTAACTTTGCATAAACAATTATCGGAACCACATGATCGCTTAAAGCCTATCCGAAGTTCCTCAACACCTCAAAGCAACCATTGAAGCCATAGCAAACAAACGTCTCAAAATTAATGATAAGCTCGCGATTCACCTCAAGAAATGAACTTTCCAACAGACTATCCAAAACCCAAATTACGAAACGAATCATACCCGCAAACCAAGCTTTGAATAAAAGCAAATTATGAAACTTACAGATAGAATGAGGCGCGCTCTCAACGATTGCTTCAAGAGTATCGTAAACCAACTTGCTATCAACTAAAAACCTCAAGTACCCATCAACCGTAGGCTCCCATTTAGGGATGGCCTGCTCTTCAGGCTTCTTAACCTCTTTTTCCCCTTCTTTCGCCTGCTCCCTCGTGTGCAGCTTCATCGCCACGAACCTCATCTCCTCCACAAACCCCTTCGCCTCGCCAGGGTACCTCTTCTGCGCCTTCTCAGCAGTCGTAGCCGCCACCACAACAGCTCTCTGGGGCATTTTATCGAACGTCTTGGAAGCAGGGACTCGAAATTGGACTGACGCCGTTCTGGAGACAAACCCAGATGATTGGAGATGGGAAACAGCAGCAGAGCGGGAAGGCAGAATCAACCCAGCTCGGGGCTTGTTAAATAGAGACTGGGATTGAGAGATTGGAGCGAAAGACGCCATTTTTCTGGCTCTTGTTCGGACTTCAGAGACGTGAGGGATGAGTTCGAATTGGTAATTGTTTTGTTTAATTGGGTTGAGAAAGAGTGTACGAAACCTTCAGCTCAAGCAAGGGGCAAGACCGCAAGAGAGAACGAAACTGAAAGTAACCAGAACGAAAGGATGGTAAGCAATAGGCAATCAGTGAAGAACAAGAGAGAGTTCAAAGAGAATGGAAGACAAGAGGAGAGGAGAGGTTTCGGTTGAAGCTAATGGCTTAGAACAGCGATTCAATTGCACTTGAAGACAAAGCGATAGACTTTTAAATAAGGGGAACTCACATGTGTTTATTTCCAGAGTTCTAGAGTGTTTCCTTTAATTTATTTATATACCAATTCAATTCAGAATTATTTTTTTTTCAAAATATCACTCTTATAGTCGAGAAAACATCCAAATACAAGAGAGTTACATAGTCGCAAACCGCCAAGATATAAAATCGAATTCCACCAAATGAGAGAACAATGAAAATATCGTTCGTCCCACAAAATAAACAACCTTGTTATATTGACAACCTACAAATCTAACATACATCAAACCTCTCAAACTCCACACTCAAAAGCCAAGATATCTTCCAAAATAGCTCCACGAGCCACATCAAAAGACTTCACCCGCCCAAACCTTGTCAAATATAGGCAGAAATCGCATATAGTAAAAAGTAAAAACCATACTTTAGTAGGATAGGATTAACTATTCAAAATATTATTACGAAAATTGGATTATAATAATGTAACTATTATTAGTTATGATATGCATACTTTATTTGCATCTAGAGATCTACTCTTGAAAATTTAAATACATAATAATAGTCGTTAACACGAGACGGGGATCTGCACATTGTCAAAAAAAAAAAAAAAACGCTCACGGATTCTCTCAATCTCGGGTTAGGTTTCGCGATGACGGCCGTCGCTGACGGAGCCTCATCGGGCGCCGTTGGTGGCGGCCGACCGTGGGCTGCACTGTTCGGAGTTTCGGAGGATTCCAAGCTGGAGTTCTATGAGCCGGAGATGGTGGATGGATCGATTAGAATTCCAAAAGCGGTGATGGAGGAGGGTGCTCGCCAGTGGGAACATAGCTTAGTTGGGCAATTTCTGGGTGCTCCGCCATCGCTCGCGACGATTCGGTTTTGGGCGAACTGGTTATGGGGTAGAGAAGGCGAAGTGGGTGTCTCTTGGCTCGAGGATCGTCTTATTCTTTTCAAGTTTCCAACAGAGGCGATTTGTCAGTGGGTGTTCGAGGGTGGCCCATGGCATTATCGCAATAATCTACTGTGTCTGCGTCGCTGGGTTCCGGGGATTAGGGCATTGGAGATTGACAATTCGGCGATTCCGATTTGGGTTCAGCTGTCGGGGCTACCTGCTGAGCTCTCCTCGAAGGAAGGTCTGGGTCGAGTTGCCAGTGGAATTGGGAAGCCTCTGTGGATGGATCAGCCTACAACGAGAAGGATCAGAGTGGGATGTGCTAAGATTTGTGTTGAGGTGAGTGCTAAAAGCAAGTTAGTTGACAAGATTAGCATCAAACCTGATGATATGGAAGAGATGTTTGTGAAGGTTGAGTACTGTCGTTTACCTCCGAGATGTGAGACTTGTGGGCTATTTGGGCATGATTGTGCACAACCCAGTGGTCCTACTAAGAGAGTATGGAGGAAGAAAGCAGTTGTGGTGGCTGAGATTGCTGAGCCTGAGATTGCTGAGCAAGAGGTTGAGAGTATGGTAGCAGTAGTGGAGCAGCCTGGAAGTGGGGAGGGACAGGAGGAGCAACTAAGGGTGGAATCAACTCCACCAGTCACTCCTAGTACTCTCCCGTCACAGGAGGAGTTTAGTAAGGTTATCAACGGGGTAAAATCACCAAAGGTATGGAAAACTTTGCCGGAAGTGAGCCAATCAAATGCATTTGAGATTTTGGCGCAGAAGGAGGTTCAGTTGCAGTTCCCACCTCTCCGGAGGGAGGGTCTGAGAAGTCAGAAAGGAGCTGATAAGGCTCCTAAAGTCTCATGATCCTTACTTGGAATGCGAGGGGGTTTAATGCCCCTCACAAGCACAAGGCAGTGCTTGATATACTTAGTAGGAGTAGAATTAAACTGTTTGCTTTGCTGGAGACTAGAGTAAAAAAGGAAAAGTCTGAGAAAATTAAAGAAAAGTTCAGTAACTATCATATTGAGGATAACTATGGGTGTCATCCGCTGGGAAGAGTTTGGTTAGCATGGGATACTGAAGTGAAGGGTACTATTCTCTGTACTGATGCGAATTTTATTCATGCCCTGGTTTCTGTTTCCCCTGGTATTCGTTTCTTCTTTACTGCGGTCTATGCTTCCAATGATGAGGTCGAGCGAGCAGCTACTTATTTGAGACTGAGTAAATGGAGAGTCAGGGGTTTTCCATGGATAGTATGTGGTGACTTTAACGCTATTATCAATCCATTTGAAGCGTCTAATGGTGTGTCGATTAATCCAAGTATGATGGCTTTTCGAGATTGGATAACAGATATGGAGCTGGTGGATCATCAGGCTTCGGGTTCATTCTTTACTTGGACTAATCAGCAGAGTGGGAATCCGATTGCAAGGAAGCTGGATAGAATATTGATCATTGAAGATTGGCTCGATAAATTTCCTGATTGTGTGGCTGAGTTCCTCAGTCCATCTTTCTCGGACCATTGTGGAATGCTGGTGACACCTTGTCGTCCGCGAAAATCTTTTCCCAAGCCGTTCAGATTCTTTGAGATGTGGATGCAGCATCCTTCCTACGAGAAAATAGTGAGTGATGTTTGGGGTCAGCAGCTGCAGGGTACAGCTTTGCAGAGGATTAAGAGGAAACTCTATATTCTGAAATTGAAGCTCAAGAGTTTGAACAGGCAGGAATACATGAACATCAGTGACAGGGTAAAGGAGGCCAGTTCTAACCTTGGGATAGCTCAAGCACAGGCTCTAGAATTACCAAGTGCAGACACATTTGACAGGATGAGAGTTCTCACTGAGGAGTTGCAGAGATTGAGGACTGCTGAGGAAAGCTTTTACAAACAGAAATCGTGCATAAATTGGCTCACTTTGGGAGATATGAATTCGGGTTTTTTCCATAGAGCAGTAAGGATCAGGCAAGCTCGCAAACAACTGAGAAAACTTATTACTAGTTCAGGAGTGGAAATTACTAGTGAGCAGGGCATAGCAGATGAAGCAGTGGGGTTTTACGAGCAATTATACAGCGTGGTGAATCCTGAAGTTAAGCTTGACTCGTCAATCATTGGTTCTCTTATTAATAAAAGCTTAAGTGAGGGTAGTAAAGACTTACTATGTGCTGAGGTATCATGTGAAGAAGTTCGAGCTGCTCTATTTGATATGAGTCCCCTAAAGGCGCCTGGTCCTGATGGGTGGACTACGGGTTTCTTTCAGAAGCATTGGGGGCTGATTAGTGGTGATATCTGCGAGGGAATTCGAGAGTTCTTCAGAACTAAGACCTTACCTCGAGGTATGAACACAGCTTCTCTCACCCTAGCTCCTAAAACGTTAAATGCTGACAGAATGACTGCTTTTCGTCCTATTGCTTGCATCAATGTGATATATAAAATCATTGCTAAGGTGCTAGCAAATAGGATTCAGATTGCACTCCCCGAGGTGATTAGTAAGAATCAGTCTGCGTTTGTAAAAGGAAGGAGTATTCTAGATAATATATTAATGGCGCAGGAGATAGTGCAGAATTACAATACAATAAGAATCTCTTCTCGGTGTGCGGTGAAAATTGATCTTCACAAAGCTTTTGATTCGGTTAATTGGGAGTATTTAGTCTGTGTGATGAGGCATATGGGTTTCCCGGCTGTGTTTATTGAGTGGATACAGGGTTGTCTTGGTTCTGCTTTCTTCAGTATCAGTTTGTATGGTTCTTTGTTTGGTTTCTTTCAAGCTAAGAAAGGTGTTAGGCAGGGGGACCCTCTTTCCCCCTACCTTTTCACTATAGCCATTGAACCATTATCAAGAATGTTGGATGTTGCTGCCAGCTCTAAACGGATTCCTTATCACCCTCAGTGTCGATCAATAGGTTTGACGCACCTCTGCTTTGCGGATGACCTATTGATTTTCACTGAGGGGTCAGCAGCTGCTTTGGTACAGATTAAGGGTTTGTTAAATGATTTCTATCTGCTCTCGGGCTTAAGATGTAATCCTCAGAAGTGCGAAGTTTTCTTTGGAGGGCAAGCACACTTATATAAGGCGAATGCTATTGAGTTGTCTGGATTTGCAGAAGGACATTTGCCTGTGAGATACTTAGGGCTCCCGTTAATTGCTGGTCGGTTGTCAACTAGGGAGTGTGAAGTGTTGGTGGACAGGTTAACGAGTAGAATTCGTTCATGGAAGGCTAGCAAGCTTTCTTATGCGGGAAGACTCCAACTGATTTCATCGGTGTTGTACTCTTTGGTGCAATACTGGATGAACATTTTCATTTTGCCTAAAAAGGTTTTAGACCTTATTCACAAGATCTGTTCAGATTTCTTATGGCATGGGGAAGGTACAGGGCGAGCGAAAGTTGCTTGGGATTTGGTTGCTCTGCCTAAACGAGAAGGAGGTATGGGTCTGAAAGATCTAGGAAGTTGGAACATGGCATGCATGGCTAGATTATTGTGGCTTATCTTGCTGCAAAGCGGTAGTTTTTGGGTTGCTTGGCTGCAGCAGCACAGACTGAAGGGGAGATCCATCTGGAGTCTGCCTCAATCTCAGTCTGGTTCGTGGATCTGGAGGAAGCTTCTCAAATCCAGAAGTTGGTTCCAATTTCGATTGGACACTGATGCAGAAGGCAGAGTCCTCTGGGAAGGAAACCCGATGCCACGATTCGTGGTGCAGAAGATTTGGGACTCAATCAGGCCTAAAGGCGCTCGTGTGGAGTGGTGGAAGCTGTTATGGAATAAACATGTTATTCCAAGAAACAGGGTGGTAGCTTGGTTAATAATTTTGAACAGGATTACAACGCGGGACAAGCTTAAGCAATGGGGCAAACTGTCTGATTCTGTGTGTGTTTTGTGTCAGGCAGAGGAGGAAACTCGTAGCCACTTATTCTGCAGATGTGCTTATACGTTGGCTTTTTATGCAGTAGTTTTTGATGTGCACAGGTGGCCGAATGACTGGGACAGCCTCTTGAGTTGGTTATGTCGAAGATGCAATAGAGAAGGCAGCAGTGGACTGATTTGGAGTGCGCTCTGGTGCTGGTGTGTGAGTGTTATTTGGAAGGAGCGATGTGCTCGAATGTACAGGGATGAGCAAAGATCGGTGGAGGAAACAAAGAGGCGATGGGTTATTGA